CCCCATCAAAATCAGTCAGAAGGAGAAATAGTAAAGGATTCCACAGGATTCTGGCTGCAAGTCAAGCTATAGCTGTGTGTGTGGTGTGGGATAAAGAGGCTGATTCCTTCCTGGTTTGGAAGAAGCCAGAATAAGAAGCTAGACTCAGGAGCTCAAAAGTGCTGACACATCCGCCCATTTAGATACAGCCTGAGGCTGTCCAGATGCAAGAAAGCCATCAAAAACTACAACTGATTACCTGCCAGACTCAGGCTCCTGTATAGTCAGTAGAGGGAAGTAATGGTGGTACCTCCAAGAGATGTCTAATATATTTATTACAATTATTTCTGTCCAGTGGCTGCATAAGAAACCAAATTATGGAAGCCCTAAATAATAAACAATCCAGGAGGATCCAACTTCATATGCAGTAAGAGTCATCTAAAATGCCTTATGTGATAATGTGAGAAGATATGGGCCAAAGAATTTAGGAAAGCTTAGAAAACAACATTAAGAATGAACATGTTCAGGAGTGAAAGTAGTGACACTTTCTAAATTTCACAAAGTCCAGCTCTCATCTACACTTAAGCGTATGCAAGATAAGGTACATGAGTAACCTCTGCATTTCACCAGTAGCATTTCACTGTTAGAGGCCTTTTCTGATCCTGTTACAAACTGGAGAAGTAGGGCTGGCCTCAAGTGGCCAAAACTGGTTTTCATCAAGAAGTGTCAGCACATTAAAACCAAAGCTTTACTCTGAGAAGATCCTACTGTTGGTGAAACCAGAGTTGTTCGCAGGCACAAGATACAGCTCAGAGCAAAATGGCAAGATCATCACAGCACTTCCTCCCCCTAGGGAAGACACATGTTCCCATCCTACTCAGGCAGACCTTTGCAGCAGGGCTTCGTGCCCAAACCACTGGCTTACAGGATACTCTTGTGGAGCTCCTACACTCTTCATAAATAACTGCATATTCACTGGAATAGGAACATCTTCCATAAGGCAGGGGAATGCTATATACCATTAACCACCGACACAAGTGTCTCTAATCTGTGATCCACTCTAATCACCTGCCACAGGACTTCACTAAATCAAGTCATTGACTCCAGCATTTCCAATTACAGTTAAAAAAAATTTTGATGAGGGACAATTCACCAAGTTATTATAACAGCACACTAAGTTTACTGTCCTTTCATCATGACTGCATGTTTGACTACATTTCTATTCAGCTCTTTAGCTTCAGGAAATGCTAACTATAACACAGTAGGCTCTCATGCATTTAAGGTGATTGAAATTATAATAGAAAAAAATCTCAGCCAGTAACCAGATAACTTGAAATATGGTATTTGTAATGTAAAAACCAGGAAATTATTAATCTCAAAAAAGTGACAACTAGACCCTGCTATTTTGGCAAACTTTAAAAATTGCCCATTTGTGTATGTATTGTTTTCTTGGTGACTAATCCACCCATTCAAGTAATGCTCTGCTTCATTTCTGCAACACACAGTCAATTTGTTGATCCTATCAGATCCTATCAGCCAGGCTTTTGGGGAAGGGGATTGGGTGGGTAGAGAAACCTGTCTTTTACAGCACCATCACCACCACATGCTTCTTTCCATTTTCCTAATGGTAAGCTTCAATTTGACCTTTGAGGAGACAGTGTTCAGCCTCTTGATCAAATAAAAACCAGTGGACATTGATATGCTGATACAAAGGTATGAAAGTGCAATAATTTACTCCAAGAGATGGGAAGACTGGGTCATACCCAGATAATCAACAAACACATGGGCATACAATATCAAAGGTACAGATATGTACGTGAAGGCACATCTCACAGAAATGTGAATTTTTGCTGCTTAAAATGTGGTTTCTCAAAAAAATCATTACAGACTGCAGGCTGGAACAACACAGCGTACCCAAAGAGAAGAGCAGCATGTGAAGAGCATAAGAAAGAGAAGACAAAGGAGGGGGACTAGGAGGGAACTACTATTAATGTACATGCAAAACTGAGCATGGACACAAAATGGGTAGTCTATCACTGAGGGCACACGTCCTTTGGTTTGATTAGACCTTGCTAATGGTTATATGGTGGCCCTAATATCAGTCTACTCAGTCTCTCTGATTACAGCACTTACCACCATTACTTAACCATTAGGCAAAGAGGGAGACAAGCATGGATGAGGATACAGCAATCTTGTTACAGTTATTCTAGTCTCTCTTCTAGTCAACAGCCCATCTGAAAATGACTTGGGCATAGATGCAAGAGGAGAAAACCAGTCATTAACACCTCCCCTCAAGGGAAGGATAAGAGCTAAAGGAGACGTGAAGGATAAAAGAGCTAACAAAATCCATCTCTCTATCCAGACTTTTATTAACTCCTACAGCAGCAAACAAGCCACTTTCTAGGCTTTAGCTGAAACTAGCTTATGTTTTACTAATCTTTAACAATTCCAAGATAGTTCCCATCCCTTGACACAATATCAAAAAATTTGCACTCCAAACAGCAATTGCTGTAATAATAACAATACTTACATTTCATTATTTAACCTCATGCTATTCATTCAGGAGGATTAGTGCTTAATTAATTAACAACACTTAGCATTTCCACTTAGCACTTTACCTCTTCAAAGCATCGTACAGACACTACCTAATTAAGGGCAGAGCTCCGCAGACACTTCACATCAGGACTTCCCTTTGCAGCACTGCACCCAAGACTTGCTCACATGATGTAGCATGAATTCAAGTTGAAAGCCCTATTAGCTTCATCAGGCACTAGGCAATGCCCTGGTTATCAAGTGACTATTTTTGCAAATTCCTTTTCTTTTTCTGTTGTTTCTGGTCGCTTGCTATTCACCTAGGGATCTAATTATTGGCTAATGTGATGGTTGATAATGTGAACCTTGTATTAGTGTTATCTACAAAACCCTCATTCTTCTGTTCGTGAAAACCTTATTCTCAGTCACCTGGTTGAACACCTTTGGGTAGAAAATGTGTTAACCACAAAACCAGATTATAAAATGTCAAGCAAGAGTTTTTAAGGGAGATGGTGCTTTCAATCCATCAGTCAAGTGCCTGCTATGAAAGTGCCTTTCTTGTAAGCACCCCAGGATGCTACACAACATCAATAGACAATATAAACACAATGCTTTTATGGTTCGCTTTACAATTCGACATTGACTCTGAACCTGTGAAACAGAAAGGAATTGAATTTCATGACCAAATAGGATAATGTGCACAGGATTAAGCAGACAACTCTGAAGCAGGAAAGCAATACGGCATTGAACGCTGATAGGGAGATTAAATTTACAAATAAGAAACCAAAGGAATAAAACAATTCTGAGTAAAATCTTGTAAGCCAGCAGTAGCACTTAATACTTCCTATCAATCCACTATTTTTTTCCAGAGAATCAAACATGCTGATGGGTTTGTTCAGAGCCCACTGATAGACTGGGCTTTGACTGTGAGAATTGAACAAAGAGAGCCCTAAATATGTAGTAGCTCCAGCCAAGAGAATTATCCAGACAGGATGGAAATAAACTTCTGCTGCAGTCAAATTGGAAGAAAGTATTTATCACAGCTCAAGAACTTGTCTCGTGTCTCAGCAGATGTCTTCACAGGGCATTGACTGGCAGGGCAGCAGCCTGGGCCTGCTGCTGCTCAAACTTGCTCCAGAAGAAAGCAAGTGATCCAATACAGCAATGTGGCTTCCAGCTCTGAGTGGTGCTGTGGTGTGTCACATGCACATCACAGCTTGCATCAGCTACGTCAAATGGCTTTCTCAGGAAGGCCCTCTTGCCAGATGAGCCACAGCTTGATAGATATTAGAAATTTAAATGGTTTGGTTCTTTGAAAACTGATTGGCTTGAACAGAATCAGACCCAACCATTTTGGTACTGAAGTATTGCACAAGGATAACTGTGTATTACTATATGCAGTGTCTTTGTGTCCAAAATATGCTGTGTTAGTGTTACTGTTAACTTCTAAAATCCCAGGAGTTTGAAATGAAAACCAGGCTTTATTATCCCTTAATAGAATTTTATTTAAGCTGCAGATGGATGAGACCCTTATTGCCATATTCAACCTCAAGATGAGGGGCAGATACTCATCCTAGGCTTTTCTGGACATGTATGTTTGGAATTCAATACCTGCCTTTCGTCTTCCCCCCAGTTCCCAAAAGTTTGTCTCCCCTCAGCTTCAAATTCAACCCTCCAGTATTCCCCAGTATTCCCTTAACACCAGTTACCACTGTGCAAGACTCTCTTGTCTCAGACACCAAATGGCCTAGCTAGTCCCAACGAGCTAACACCTAAGCTATCACTTGGGTACACTCTGCAGTCCTTTCTAACATTTACCACCTTGGATCCATCCCAGACCCATTCCAGCCTGCCCATGACCACTCCCCTGGACCATTTTCTGCATTGATGAAGGCTGGGTCTACTGGTTATATATGAATTAGGTAAATCTTGCACATTTCTTATTACAAGTTTCCTAAAATGTAATGCTCAAGACAAAACCACTAGCTATGGACACTGTTGATCAGAAAAAGATTCCTGTTAATTAGCATGCACATTGGATCAGGCCATTTACAAACATACTGGGAAGCTACTATGGAGGATGATCCAAGTTCTTATCTAGGTAACTATGCTTCTGTTTCTAGCACAAGGGCTGTGACACATGAGCCTTTCTGATCACTTCTGTATTTGCATTTGCTGTGCATCTGTTCTAGCATCTCCAAGCCCTGATGTCTTGGATGAACACATGCTGAGATACTTCCTGACTGGGTTCCAGTGCTGGAATTTTGCTGGGTGCAGCTCAATATGTGAACCAAATGCAGGCATAAAAACAACTTGGTTGAGACAAAAACCTGGTATTTGGAAGGCAGTTCTCTACTCTGGTATATGTCAAAAATAAATTTAGATGACTTATATAATTAGGATTTTACCTCTCATTCTCCTGTTTTACTTGGCTGGTACAATAAAACAAGTTGGTCTGTTTAGTATGTCCCACAGTTTTCACTCATTACCCTATATTCATGTATTTCTGTGGGGTGTTGGGGTTCCACAGTTTCATAGGACTGAGAAATTTCGGCTCTTCATAATGCTCTCCCTGTAAGAGGTCACAGGGACACAGCCACAGAGTAGTCAGCAATACATCCATGGTGGTCATGAATCTTAAGTTCCAGCATCTATTTTCTCCTTGCCTCCAGCCATCCATGACTAATGTCATTGGGACAATTTATACTTTTTGGCTGTCACAGCCTCCTACAGCAGTGAATTTCACAAGTGATATTGATTGCACCAAGTCGTGCATGTGCTTCCCCTGTTGCTTCATCAGAAGAAAGTGTTCCTTCTACTGCACCACCACGGTGCATAGTATTAACCTTGCAATTTAGCCTGCACAGGGAGTGTTCAATGGATTGTTTGATGACTGGGAGTATAAGACATTCTAATCTCCTTGCCTAGTGAAACTGCTCAGCTGAAGCAACCTTTGAAGGGCAAGTTATGCTCCAGGGCAACTATGATTGAGAGAGTTACACTAGCTATATATTTTACTTATCATTTTATCACTACATCTATTCTAAGCATAGCCTTTCAATTAATTGATTCTTAGGACTTGATGCAGACAGTATTGTAGTATTTCGACAGCAGCATTTTCACAAGTAGCAACTCATATTTCTCACCTTTGTGGTCCACAATTTGACTGTCCAGTCAAATGATGATGTGACAAAGAGATGGGAAAAATCAATTGGACCCACTGCCATGTGACAATTGATTCCTGTGATGGGTCCTTGGTGGCCTTCAAATATTTCACCAATGCCAGCTTTACTGCAGGAAGAAGAGACATTTACATGCAGAGTGATTTACCATCTGGTGATTTAACATCAGTTTTCTTTACTCTTAGGTTCCTGTTTCCTTTTAAAGTTCCATTTAACGTGTAAATCTCTCTCATTTCACTAAGGCCTTTGCCTGCAGAGGTTTACTCCTGTGGGCAAAATTAATGGTCAGAATTCAGCACAGGGAGACTTTATCTTACTTCTGCAGATTTGCCTTACTCACTTCTACATATACTGTCTACTATAGTAGCTTGGAATAACATTTATATATAATAATAAAATAACTCTAAATTATAATTATACTATAGCTCATACCTCTGAGTGAGCCATTATCACAAGGAATAACCATTAAAATAAAAATGCAAATATGTTAATGACTTATCATGAGTAATTCTTTTTCCCTTAAATATCTGAAATAACTTTTCACAGCAGTCAATCAAGTCACAAGGAAGCAAATGCTTTTTCACAAAAAGTGGAGAAACTGGTCCTGTGATCAGGTATCATACAGTCATTACTTTGAACAAGGGGAGATGTGCATTTCATCAGCCTGAGGCAAGAATAGCTATTAGGAAGGAAAAATACAATGCTGTGTAAGAGAGAATGTGCAGAGTTTTCTTCCTGGAAGCAAATGATGCCAGATCAGTTGTCAGTGCTGTCTCACAGTGTACACAGAAAAGGGAATTGTGAAATTACCCTTTTTGTTAGATTATAGAAAAATTGCAAGTGGAAGAAAATACATTAAAAGTCGCCACAGCTCTGATGAGGCTGTCAGCCCTGTGCCAGTGTGAGTACAGAGTAACCAAAGTGACGTGGAGCTGCACTGGAGGAAATTAGTCCATCGCACTGCTAGTGCAGTGTCACCTCTCCTGTGTGGGAAATGTGGCCTCATTTCAGCTTCCCTGCCAGACCTCGCAGCATGTGATGGAGCAGGGACCAAGTCCTGCAGTGCCTCTGCAGTGCTAGATACAAAGCACATCTCTTATTTTATCTCCATCTGTCTGCCATGTAGTCAGTGGGATAAGAGGAGTTCTGAAGTGTTGCAAAAACTTTGGTTATGTTCTGTGCTTTGACACACCTTTTTTTCAGAATAACATATGGCTCTCCACTGTGCTGGGCTGAAGGACACGGGAGCCTCTGGAATTAAAATGGGGATGATAGCAAAAAGCTCCAGGAAAGACAGGCAGGACCAGAAAAGCTTTGTTGATGGTCAGTAGAAGGTTTGCTAAAACGGTGTGCTAGCAAGAGGTTCTGGCACCTTTCTGCCCCTGTAAAGAACAAACCAGGCTTGTCTGAAGGATCAGAAGTGAGAAATGCCCTTGGGCATGCTTCATTCATCTTAGCAGCCTAAGACTAACTCAAACCATCAGCTACCACACAGCCCATCAGTATATGTCCAAATAGACACAATTTTGCAATACTGTCAGCAGTTAGGCTAAAATAAAAATATTTTAAAAGAAAAAAAATTGAACAAAATACATGTAAAACAGCACTTATAAAACATTAGGGGTGTGAAACAGAAGGCCTTACAATCTTAAACCAGCGTGTTGGTGTCTCTTTGGTCAACAGAAACACAGAATATGGTAAGATATGAATTCAGAGACTATTGCAAATTACTGAAGTCTGGGAGTGAGCTTTGAGTCTATCAGTGGAAAAAGCTTGTTCTTTGCAAAAGCTTTTCAAGCATCCCAGAGGATGAAACTACTATTGGAAGTGTATGGAGTACACTAGCATCCTACATTTGCAGTGTGCAAAACAAGGAAACTGCAGTACTAAACTACAGCCTGGATTATGTGAAGAAAAGATATGCCCACCATGTGTGAGAGAGGACAGGACCAGGGAGCAGGTCAGCCAGAGCTCTTGTACCCGTATGGCACACTGTGGCCACATCCATGTTAGCAAAGAAAGCAGGCAGCAGCCCAGAACAATGGCAAACAGTGTGGTGTGGCTCCTGGCTGTACAGCAAAACCCTCTTGCTGTCCTGGAAGGTGTGGGCATGTCCAAACTGCCCCCTGAGACAAGGGGACAGCAGGGCTCGGTCTGTGCATGGCTGCACAGATGCAGCCTGAAGTGCTGCACAGGAATGCTTGGCCAGGCATTGGAAACTGCATGCTCTGTTTCTCGTGTGCACGTGTGCCAATGGTGGCTTTTCTCTGGTTTATGCCCATGGAGACTGAAGATGGAGCTGAGAATGGTAAAAAATGAAGCAGATTAGCATCTCTTATGAGTGGTTTAGGCCTGATTACACTGCAACAGAACTGCCTCCTAGGGCCTCATTCAACCTGCCCAGACATGCATAGATAACTACATCTCAGCTAGCTGTATGAACCTCTGTCTCATCTCATGGGTGAGAAAGAGGCATTTCTGAGGTCCCAGTCATCTCCTTTCAGGCAGATATCTGAAAAAGGTAAAGGAAGTCAACCTAAGAGTAGTCATTGCACTCCACCAACTACACAGGGAGCCTGGGGCAACTACCCAGGTTATACTAACAGGCTGTAGCAGAGATACTCGAAAAGTCAGGTGAATCCTGTCCTGGTGACGTGAACAGTACAGACATTGCTAATGAAAGTGAAAAAAAATTGAACACTCTCCACACACACTTGGCTACCTCATGCCACCACAGGTACACAATGATATATAAGTGAATGCTGAAGCTCACCTTCCATGACGACAGGCTGTGTAGACTGTTCCCTCTTCACTGCCAACGACAAAGTTATTGACATCTCCAGTTGGGAAAGCCATTCCTGTAACCGCCACTGGTTTGGACTTATTGTATACCAGCTCCATGCTCTCCTACCAAAACAGGGGTTTGTTATTATTCTGCAATCATCCTTTTGTTTGTCTGGGTTGTTTGGTTTTTTAAAATTAATTTCTAAATGTTGCATGGGGTAGCAGGAGTGGAAGAAGAAATCATTTGACCCAGTCACAGGACTTTGGTTTCTACATAGGACATTGTGAGAAGATGCAATGTCATAAACTAGGATGCTCCTGCCATCCCCAATGCTGTCTGTCACACATTTGAGACCAGCAGGAAGGCACTGGTCTTTCCTGCATCATTTTAAATCAGGCAGAGATGACAGGAGAGAATTTTAAATCTAATGGTGCAGAAACTAAAGATAATACCTTAATGGTTACAATTGCCAGCCCCAGGCTCTAATAAAACATTCAATACCCTTCCATTTACAAACATTTTGGAAATCAATTGTTTGTCAGGAAGCACATGTAATATCGTGTGCACCTGAGGCATTTATTGTATTGTGTCATTTGTCCCTTTGCAGAACAAAATTGAAAAGCTGGGGTCCTGTCACTACCACCATTCTAAGCATTGATTTCAGGGATTTTCTGAGGTAGCCATAAACACTCCCTCTAGACTCCACCATCAAGTTACAAACTAGCAGGCATGTTTTCTGCTCTCATTTGGTAGCTATATTTCAAAGTAAATCAGCATGCCCATTTTTGCTATTGCAAATGCAATCACTATGAACAGTTTGTGGCCATTGCAAGATGTGTATGCTTTCAGCAGATTTTGCACAATGTTTTGATTTTTCAGCATAAATGATGTAACCCAAGAATCCACAAAAAGGCTGAATGATTTCACCATTTTAATTTTTAGCTATTTAAGTGGGCATGTCTTCTATGTTCTAAAGTGTCTATGCTGCTATTCTTCTAGGACCAGTCTGTCAGAGGGCTTTTTGCTGTAGCTAAGAAAGTGGGCATCCCTGTGAGAGGAGAGAAATGCAAACCCATAGAGAAATACTTTTGCTTGATTTGTGCTTTTCTTTGAAATACATTTGGTTCTATTAAGAAGGAAAACAAGGCATGGAAAATGCATTGGGAAAGCACCCCTTATTTCTGTGAATACGTGAGTGAGAGACAAAAAAAAAATCTCTTAATATGGGAGAGAAACCATACATTTCTGTGAAAATCTTTGGGGGTGAGATCATAATTTAGTGTCTCTGTGGAGACATGGCCATAGACTGTAGTGGGCTCTCTCCTCCCAGTGCCCACACCATGGCTGTACACAAGTGCTCTGGATCTGTGTCTTTGGAAAGTTTCAGACTGACACATATCAGCAACACTTTACTCCCCCAGTTTAAAGCTATGGAATGTAGCTTGATGTCAAGTCCTGTGCCTTTCTTTTCTAGATCACCATGAGCCATGTGCCAAACTTCAGCGTAGTGTGGGGTGTGTTTCCATCCTTCTTGAGAGCCAGTTTTGGAGCAGGGAAATTTCATCTGAGTGATGAGGTACTGGAACTCAGATGCTCACAGATCTGTGCTTCGGAATTTAGTATTCTAGAAATTACATACCTAAGGGTGGGATTCATCCTCTTGATGTCTTTGTGACAAATGGGGGCAGGGATTTGGGTGCATGACCATAGATGTCTGGGCCATTTTAGATGCCTCTGTTTCTACTCCAGAAGAGTACTACTTTCTCATAGTCCCAGGACACAACTGCCAGACCCATACTGTTGCATTACATGAAAATGAGCAACATGATCTAACTTTGAAGTTGGCCACACTTTGAGCAGGGGAAGCGATAGAATGACTCCCAGAAGCCCCTTTCACCCTAAGATTGGACAGTTCTGTATCTCAGTGTGGGTATCTGAAATGGTAGTTGACACTTGGATGGGATGAGTCATCCTCCAGAAGTACCCAGCCTCTCTCTACACTAACTGTAAAGGAAACTTGAATTGCTAGCTTAGACTTGACACAGACCTAACTTTTAGATGGCTGAGGTTAGGATAGAGGAGTCTCACCTCTTGTGTCAACACTGAAAAGCAAGTAATTCAACAGTAATTGCACATTAATGCATGATTATTGGATGATTAATGGAATCATTAAGGGGAGTTTCTATGCAGCATTTTGAAACAAGATCAGATCCCATGATGCTTAGTGAAAATGGTATTAAATGTTTTTTCTAAGAAATTATATATAAAAAATGAGTGATGTGTTAGAATAGAAAATGTACTACTCCAGAAGATAACACTTAAAAGATGCTTTCTGTACACCTTTTTCAGCATTGGATTCTTTGTTTAGTTTCCATTATTATAATCACTAGTGGTTTGGGCAATTTTCCTGTGTTTCCTTTCATTTCTGATACAAAGGAGAGGAGGGGAGGAAAAGACAATAGTATAAAACATTCCAGAGCAGGGAAGTTAGTTCTAAAACTTTCGACTTGCATTGTTTGTTCCTTTGGCTACTGAAGGCAGGCAGCAAAGTAAGCTTTCTGACTGTGTGCCTTGGAAACCCATAGTGCCTAGGGTGTGTTCAGCAGCACTGCAATCTAGTCCATATTTGTTAAACAATGCTGTAGAATAAGTGCAATTTATACCACAGGCGACTTCTGTAATTGCCATGCTTTAAAATGGACTATTTCATTTTCACTTGAAACTGACCTGTGTATTAACGTATTACAATAATTACATGATTTGTGGCAAAGGAAATAGGGTTTGGCTCTTAGCAGAGACTGCTGGAAGCAAGCTGTACTCTTTCAAGTGCATCCATTGGTTTTAGTTTGTATAGGACGCAAAGTTTTGGCTTTTAGGAGCTATGTTCTACTACACAGGTATCCTGCTCTACCGAAGGTGATTTTCCCCCCTGTATAGGTGAAAACAAACCCACCTGTGGAGTTGAAAGCATGTCCAGGCTCCAGGAGCACATTTTGCCATCCGTAGAGACAGTAATGAGATTGTGTGCATTCTGTGTTCCAACTACATTCACACAATACACAGGATGCTGAAAACACATTAACACTGGAAATCAGAGGGCCATTCTCACATTTTCTCCAACAAATTTCTAATGTCTCATATGTTATTTTAAAGAATGATTAAGCAGTCACAATGCCTGGAAAATACAAGACTCAGCTTTTGCCAGATAGGAATTGTTTTGGTCGGTTTTTTCCATTTCAATTTTAAGAAGTACATTATGGAGGTGGAAATGTTTTCTAAGGTTCATTTTCCTCGTAATAAAACAACCCAGCTGAGTAATGCTGTGAAAATACTGAATTATGTGGATGATATTTCACCCACAGGGACATGTATCATTCTACTGATGACTTTTGACACTGAAAATGACCAGCAAAAAGAGGCAAATTGTCCAAACGGAATCAAAATGAAAACTCTGCAAGAAAACAGCTGCATAAAACTTGAACTCCTTCAGAATTTGGCTTGCGTGTTAAATATTTGCAAATGTACGCGGGTTGAAGAACACGAACAAGCCCATCAGTGCTCTTCAGCATTGGCCAATATACCTTGTAAAATCTGTCATTATAAATGGGGAGTAACTAAATTGGGGATGTTACACATGGTTCACCATAGCACAGTCATTCCATGGAGGCTGAATTCCACTTAGCATGCATAATGAAACTTGGCCTATTCCTTTTCCAAGGAACCTGGTAACATTTTGAGCCTCAAGTGTCATCTGATACGGATAGTGACATATGAGGGATAGGTCAAGTTCAGCAATCTCCAGAGTAAAAAATCAGTCAGACTGAACAGTAAGATTTAATTACCTTTGACCAGTACAAGTGATGCTGCTGAATTAAGGATTAGACATACATAAGTCAAGCAACAAAAAATTGCATTTCTCTGCAACTTTTGCCAGTAAAAGAAAACCTGCATCTCCAGAAATTGAAAACACTTTTCTCTAATACTTCCCTTACTGAAAGAAATTTAAGACCAACTTACAAGACATCCCTATGGAGCTTCTAAGCCAACTCCATGTAGCGTTAGAAATGAAGCATTTGCTCTTGCTGAAAGGAATGGCAGAACTACCACTTACGGCAGACTACTTCAAGATCCAGCTGCAGGTCACCTACCCAGTTAGTGGGAAAAGGCAGAAATTTTCAGAGCCATGGCTAGCTCTCAGCTACCTGAGTGGGCCCAGTAAACGCTCCCTCTCTAAGTGCAAAAAGGGCAGCACTTGTACACAGAGTGTATGTGCACACACCGAGATGGACTAAGCAATTGCTGCTGAAATGGTACCTTGTGTTTGAAGGCCACCTGTACACACCAGGGAGTCACAAGGTCCATTATGATTTTTTCTTTCTCTCAAGGTTATCAGGCACCTGGTTTCTCCCAGATCATCAAGTCATTGTACCCTCATATGATGGACCTTCTTGCTGCTTAGCATTAAGCTAACGATCTCAGTGCTAAACATGATTAACATACTGATGTGTGAAATAAGCATAGACCTTTCTTTCATGGGTGTTTGACCTCCAGTAGTCCAAGCAGACAGGGACAGAGTGCGTGGGAGGAAGCTAAAGCAAATAGTAGACTATCTAGAATATTTAGGGGGGAGGGAGAGAGTGAGCCATGTCTTTCCAGCAGCACCTCAGTGTGTCAGGTCTGGCTTTAATCAGGGCTACCAGCCATCAATTTCATGCACAATAAAACTCATGGCAGAAATGAAAAGATGTAAGAAAACGGGTGAAAAAGACAACCAACTGTATGTAACAGAAAGTCTAAACAGGCTCCTTCCTTTCATAGGGTTGCTGCCAGCTTGCTTTTATTTATTTTGGAAATGAAATCATCATGCAAAAGGGGTTTGTCTTAATTAAAATTTCCTGTTGTCCCAAGTGCAGATGTGTGGTGGGTGTGAAAGGAAATTAGTGAGTAAGCTGCGGGTAGAATTCTCTTTCCTGGTGAATCCAGGCGGTAATCAGTGATACTAAATTTCAGGAAGGTTTAAGTCAGTGAAAACAACATGATCTATCTGTTTCAATAAACAAAGCAAGAGAAAGAAAAGAGGAGAAACCTTTTTCCACATATGGCATAAATTCAAATTAAAAAATGACTATTCGATTCACATATCTAGCAGTATATAAAGTAACATTGCTACAGTACAGTTGCCTTAATATAATCCTTGGTTTTTTTCGTGGCATCTAGGATTCAAGCCAGCCTTTTGCAACCAAGACCTCATTTACAGTTTATGTAACTGGTTCTTATATATGAACATAAAATAAAGCACTCTTTTATTGTGAAATATAACATCATGCTTCCTCATGTTAGACTGTGTAAACACTTATTTATACCAATCCATGACAGCACATAAAGTGCCCATCCGCAACTGAAAGTAATTTATTTATATTTGTCAAAAGCAAAACATCACATATTGTTCTATTGCAATAATAAGACTACTTTAATATGGAATTCCAGGAGGTGCAATTTTGTCTTAAACTATTTTTGAGTGTAAACAAATTACTTTCCATTAATCTTTGCTTTTCCACTAGATTTCGAGTCCCAGTTGTTCAATTTTCAGTGATAGTCAGCTTCTTGCCACTAGTTTTCTGGTCTGCTACATGTCTAAATTGCACTTCCAGGAGACTGTTTCTTTTCATGCAGATTGAGCAATATTATTGGCAACAAAATGAGCAAAAACATTAGGGAAATGAAAAGCAATGTTGAAGTTGCAACCCATGGCACAGATCATTAGATAATTACATCAACATTCATGATAGTGGAAATTTAGGGAACAATATTTGTACTGCCTGGCCCACTAAGCATGTCTGTGCACACCTGTCATTTTTTAATATAGGAGACTTGCAATCATAATCCTTGCCCCACACTGAATCTTTCACATTCATTCACATGGCATGGCTTCTAGAGTTGTCTTTACACTCCAGAGATTATATTGTCTCAGTCAACTAAAACCTGAACCTTGATCTGCAAATTCCAGAGAATCACAGAATTGTAAAAGCTGGAGGTGCAAAAGTACCATCACTTTGTCTGATCCTTCATTCTGCTAGAACAAGCATATTATCTTATCTCTCAGAGTGCTTCGCATAGTTCAGTTCCCTGTGTTTCAGAAAATGCATTTTTCAGCACTCGTACCATACTTTTGCATTTTTCTCCTCCTTTCAGTCTCCCTTCTGGTTTCCATTCAGGAATGGCCCTAAGCCCACTCCCAAGATGTGACATAGCCATCCACAGAGCACACCTTCCAGCTCTCCTGAAGAGTCTGCCTGAGCCAAATATCTGGAAGAGGAGAGCTCAAGAATCATAGAATCATAGAATCAGCCGGGTTGGAAGAGACCTCAAGGGTCATCGAGTCCATCCCTAGCATCATTACTAGACCATGGCACTAAGTGCCGCATCCAGTCTTATCTTGAAAACCTCCAGGGATGGTGAATCCACCACCTCCACAGGCAGCCCGTTCCAATGTCTGATTACTCTTTCTGTAAAAAAATCTCTTCCTAATATCCAACCTAAACCTCCCCTTTGTGCAGGATGGACTGGAGATCAGTGCCATAGCAGAGTGAGAACACTTCAGCAGGTAATCCAGGCTTGTCTCTTCCTCCAGCACAAAATGAGTACTTTGCAATGTAAGAGAGTCTCCTACCACAGACATCCTTGTATCACAGAGAAATTCCCCTCCTTCTCAGACATTCTGTGTTACTGCTTTGCCTGTATATATATACACCATAGAATCATAGAATGTTAAGTAGTTGGAATGGACCTTGAAGATCATCTAGTCATAACCCCTGCTGCCATGGGCAGGGACACCTCCCCACTAGACCAGGTTGCCCAAGGCTTCATCCAACCTGGCTTTGAACACTGCCAAGGTTGGGGCATCCACAACCTCCTTGGGCAACCTGTTCCAGTGTCTCACCACCCTCACAGTAAAAGATTTCTTCCTAATATCTAATCTAAATTTCCCCTCTGTCAATTTGTACCCATTGCCCCTTGTCCTACACTACAGCTCCTAACAAAGAGTCCCTCTCTGGCTCCCCTGTAGCCCCTTCAGATACTGGAAGGTTGCAATGACATACTCATGCAACCTCTTCTTCTATAGGCTGAACAGCCCCAACATCCTCAGCCTGTCTTTGTATGAGAGGTGCTCCAATCCTCTTATCAACTTTGTGGCCTCTGGACTTGCTCCAACAATTCCATGTCCTTCTTACGCTAGGGACACCAGAACTGTACACAGCACTTCAAGTGGGGTCTCATAAGAGCAGAGTAGGAAGTGTCACTGCGCTGGCACAAAGGTGTCTCACTCAAATGTTGTATTTGATCCTACCTTATTCCTTGGAAAGGAGGATAATCTCCTGACTTGACTGTATGAACTGTTATAGTTAAGCACTTACAGGAGGTGGTTGTACATCTCTCTTATCTATTTCTTTCCTTTCAAGGGTCTCATTTATGTTTTCATCTGTGTGGCAACCAGCATTGTAGACACAAGTAGCCAGCTCCATTTCCCTGCTGCCCATTTCCTCTAAGGAAAGGAGGAGGTGATTTTTTTCCTTACCGTGTGAGCAGCAGCAGATAAGGGAGTTCTCTGAACCGGCGTGCGCCTGTGACTGCGATTATCCCACAAGACAATTTGTCCAGAATATGTTCCACCGACAACCAGGTTTGGATGAAAACGGGCAAAACAGACTGACATCACGGAGGACTGGAGTAAAAGTGGTAGAGACAAGAGGGGTTACATGGTCAGTCATCTTCAGTTCTCTTGTAGGGAAGTATACTGTAATTAGCATTTTGTATTTTAGGAATCACTATATAAACTCTATTCATATTCCTTGTACACCGGGAATTCTACTAAAGCAAACAGAACACATGCAAAGAGATAACTCTGACCCAAAGATGTGTTGTTCCATTGGTCCTAAGGAAAATATACACCATAGGATGAGTCTAAGCATAATGCTAAAAATTTGACTTAACCTTTCCATGACAGTGGTGCTTAATTTCATTTCCAAAAGTGAGAACTTCAAGCAAACAGATGCCAATGCAACAGAGGTTGGCATCCTGGCCCATAATATCCCATCAGGGAGAGCTCTTCCCCTATTGCTCCTCTCACTTTGAACTCTCAGACAATTTGAGATGAGTCTGCCAGAGACTCTCCAATATTCACCTCAAGGTGCACTGTCTTGAGAGTATCAACTGAGAAGCCACATCTCATTGTTGGATCAAGGACTGATTTCTCTGCCAAAGAGGTCCTCTTCTAATAGCAAAGGGAACCACATTTTCCTTTACACTGATTAAGCAGAACTGAGTTTTTCCTTATCTTAATGATAGCTGACTTGTCTTTGTACATTTTCTTTAGCTGGGGATGCTGACAAGCCAGACTAGTGTAATGGCTACCCTGGCTACCTGATACAGGGCCCCCCAAGCCAGTATGGAGATGAGTATCTATCCCAACTACCACTCTCTAGTGTGTTTAAAATAACATAGAACAGCTGAAGTCCTCATGGGAACAGTCCCCAGAGCCTTCATGTGCCAACAAGCTACAGCCAAGAGCAATAAGCTTTAACAGCTTCAAATCTTCTATCCTCTTCCTAAGGAATTATTTCTCGTTTTTATATAACTGGTCCTGGATGTTATGTCTTTGCTTTATGCAAATTGGAAAGCAAAAGTTACAGCATTCATATAATTTCCTGGGAATTCACATACTAATAAAGGGTTTGCAAAGAGAAGCAATCGTCTTTTTTTCATGGGCAGTTTTAGTGATGCTTACTAGCCACGGAGTAAGGCTTGAACTGCTGAGGCAATTACAATCAAAAGGTTAAATTAGCTGTTAGTTGTTGTGTTCTTTAAAATTCATTTTTCTGGCTGTTTTCAATGAGCATTACTAACAAATATTTTTTGTATTTTAATAACTGGATATTTTTAAGCACTGGTGTTCCTAGGTGTGAACACTTTTTATTCAATGACAAAGGGTTAACTAAATGAGCACATTTCAGTTGCACAAAAAGCATGGCAGACATCTAAGTCAATGTTGTTGAATTGCGAAAAGCAGATCTGCCATATGGAACTAGACCCAGCGTCTACCTAGTTGATGGCCCTGTCTCTGGCAGAAGTCGATGGAGCTGTAAAAACTGATGTGGGAAGATATGTTGTCTCCTTTCCTTACTGCTCCTCGTCCTTATTTCTAGTGGCTAGAGACTGGTTTGAACACACCACAGGTTTTAAACCCTTCTGATAAGTCTGGAATTAACTATGCTGACTCTTGATATCTATAATGAGATTAATAAGAATAAAGCAAAATATGAAGTTTAAATAGTTTTTACTGAATTCATGTAGCTGCCTGATATCTATTCTTTGAAGCCAGATTATATGCTAAATTAACTTAATAGACATACTTCTTGCACACAGCAGTATATTTAGTCTTTTTTTTTGACCTAATAAGATCATCAAGACCATGAAAAAAGCTGCCACTACCTTTTTTCTTCCCCACTCTCTCTGGATTCTTGTGGCTGCTCACTTGATATTTTTGATACCTTCCCTTCTTGAATAAAGCTTTTGCATACATTTCTCTGATGTTATGCAGTCTAGCATCTAATGACTAGATGATTAGTGTACATAAATGTCTATTTTAGTCCATGCCTATCTAAGCTCTTGAGCATAGTAATTACACTACGGCCAGTTGTAGCAATAAGAAGTAGCTTCCAAACACCATTTCCAAAGGACCTATTAACTTTACAGATAAGAAAACCCACCTCTAAGGAACAAGACTTAGGTACTGCTAAGAGGGGCTTAAAACTGAGCTACACTGCAGCTGCCATCCGGTTTCCACAGATCCCCCCCACATTATAATTAAAACGACCCTACAGCACATGTTCTACATTTTATCTCTTTGTTTAATGGCTTCGTGAGTTGTTTTAATCAACCCCTCTCATTTCTTATAACTAAGCTGACAGATATTCTTACATGAAGTGAAATAACCAGATGATTTTAAAATAGTACAGCTCCACCACTGTGTACACCCCGCAGCAGCTACAAGGCTCCACATGTATTTTAAGAAACCCCAATTCAAACGGTTATTCCACAACAAAGTTCTCAGTTTGTCCGAAACAAACTTGGGAGACTCTGAAGCAGGGCAAAGAAGCCAAGTGGACAGTGTATTTTTAAACATTCTGTTTTCATGGTTAGTATGTTTTTGAATTCAGAATGCCAGAATACAGCTGAATGGTCAGAATATAAACTGCTAAAGTGTGTTTTTCATAAAGTTCAAAAATAACCTACAGACATGACATGGACTTAAACCCTCTGTGCTGCTACTAGTTTTTCATATCACTCCAAAGTAGTTTGCATTCTTCAAATGATGATATGTTCACATCCTCTTAATTGTGTCAATATAATTTTTCTATCAAAGAAAAGCTTCTGTCAAATATTAGAATTTAACAATTTAAGGACTCCAGAGCACTAACTATAGCGATTATTTTCTTAATATTAATGGCAGTACTCAGATGAGTAAGGGCTGTAAGATCAAGCCCATTCATTTAACAACTTTTAAAGCATTAATTTCTTAGCCTTAATGGGAGAGAGTGGCACACAGGTCTCCACACTGTCTGAACTGCTCTGTGCTCAAGGCAAGCAGCAGAAACCATTCCTTATAAGCTTATTCTGCCTCCAGACTGCTTCTTGTTTGCTCATTCAAGTAGTCTTGCTCCTCTAATACAGTTTTGCCACTGACTTCAAAGGGGGAGGCACCAGCACATGGTCAGGTTTTAAAATGACAGCATATCCCTTGTTGCATTTCTACCACACCTTTCTAGGGAAATCTCATGGCACCTTCCAATGATGATGTTAAAGCTTCCCAGTTTTTCAGTTAGGGATATTTTATATACTGTAGGTGCTTAATTTCATAGTATATGGCAACAGCACATAAATAAATGTAAGACGAATCATGTCAGAAGGCAATTCCATGGGGAGTTTAGTGTCCACAGTATGAAAGCAGCATTTAGAATAGCAGGTTCTCAGCATTAACTTTTTATGGGTGCCACAGACCATCTCTGTCTGTCAGCTGTTGGGACCTACAAGAGACAGTCAAACCCTAGTATCTGGTCATCTGCATTGCTCTGAATTGCGCTTTGCAGTGAATCTTTTCATTATTTACTTTAGCTCAATACTCAGGTGTCTTCTCCCTCTATATAAATACAGCCTGCTGGATTTTGTTTTCTCTATCTCTCCTTAGCTTTCTCAGTGACCTTAAAAAAGTATTTCTGGTACTTCTGGCTTTCCCCCCAGATGCTCTGGTGTTTTTAATTCCAGGTGGGAGCACTGACCAGGCATAAGGCAGAGCTCAGGCTGGTAAAACCTGGGGTTATTGCATGACAAATGGGCAATTCTGTTTCCCAAATGCTGAAGTTTCTGCTCCCAGCTGCTACGAGAACAATGCTGAAAACGTAATTAAGAAACAAAACATGAAATGTCTGTGCTCTTGTCACAGCAAAGAGAGGCCTGGCCTCAGAAACAGAAGTATTTGCCCAGACCTTGGAGAGGTCTGCAGATGGGGGGACAAAGGCAGCACCCCTGGTCACCTGCCTTGGTGGGGTCAGGTCTCCTCAGCCTGTGGGGAGCAGCACTGTGGAGCTGCCTCTGCTGCTCCTCTCCTTTCCTCCCTTCTTCCCTCTCTCCCCACTGATGCACTGATCCAAACAGGCCCCGAGCCCTCTTCAAGTGGCTGGCAAAGCTGGTTTTTATTTTAGAAGCTTAATACAGCCCAGATTTGGATTAATGATGGCATATCCTTCCAACCACAGGTACACGTGCTTGGGAAAGACAAGTCATTTAGCTTCTCCTTACTGAGGAGCCTGACCTCAGTACCCACATCTGATGCGTGTAAGGCTCTGGAGACTTGGCTGTCTGTGCTCATGTCCGTACATTTGGATGGCACTGTGCCCAGCCACCAGTTGAACAAGTTCACAAAGACCTGGGTGCTAAACAATAATGATTCTCAATAGGCAACAACTACTGCCTTCAGCCAGACCTCTCCTGCAGGAAACCGCCCCCAGAGCCAGTGTTGCCATACTGGTGCCATATGCCTACGCTCAACACCAGATGGATCTCAAAACAATACTTCATCAGTGGGAAGAAGCAAGCCAAGGAGTTCACAGGCATTTCTAGGCTCCAAAATACCAGGTTATATTGCAGCAGGCACTCAGGAAATTCCTGGGTGGATTTTCTAGCTGAGAAAACACATGTGAAAAAGCACCACAGTCGGTGGCATGCTACTATGGGTCAGTCTGACACAGGCAACAGTGGGCAATGAAATCAACTTTAGCTGAGATGAAGTGGCAGATCCTTTTCCATGTTTGAGGGAATTGGCTTAGAGGGACTAAGAGCAGAGGGACAAAGCTGTGGTACTGCCACTTAGCTAGAATGATGAAAAGTTGCCAAACTCATAGTCCTTCATCCATAGGAACTGAAGAACAGGGACTGGACCTCTGATCACTTATGCCTGCCCTCCTGAGGAATTAATAAAGAGAAAGGCCAAAACTACACGTGCAATTTACTCATAACCTGTTAGTCTCACTCCTGCTCATCAAGAACATAATTTTCAGAGTCTAAGCACCCACAGACCCACTGAGAGCTACCCAGCCCTCTTCTGGCCAGGCATTCAGGAGACCATTTCATTCTTGCATTGCTATACACACTTAAATATGGCCCCAG